TATACATATAAATATATATATATATATATATATATATATATATATATATAATATAAATATATATTTTCTCTCTCTCTTTCTCTCTCTATATATATATATATATATATATATATATATATATATATATATATATATATATATATGTGTGTGTATTTTTTTTCTATATATATATATCATGATAAATATATAGATCTTTAAATAAACGACAAGTGTCTTAACGTGTTCCGATAAGTTCACTTGATCAAAAATAAATGATATAAAAATAAATCTATTCTATATAAGATGGATATACACAAGTTTCTCTGAATAAATTTGAAGTAATCTCTCTCTCTCTCTCTCTCTCTCTCTCTCTCTCTCTCTCTCTCTCTCAAACGACAGGTCAATCTTTTCGGGAGGAGATTGAAGGCACGAGATCTCCGCACCCTCACACTCGGACAGGCCGGTCTTGAAGAGCCGTTTTTCGTTCTGTTACAGGAGTGGAAATACGCCTTTCGCGCGAAGTAAGGCGCACATTCGTCGAGGAAAATCTTCACTCGACCAGCAGACTGTAATTTCGAGCGGATGAGAAGACGAACGAAAGACAGAGAGAGAAAGAGTGAGAGTGTGAGAGAGAGAGAGAGAGAGAGAGAGAAAGAGAGAGAAAGAGAGTGAGAAAGAATGTGAGAGACTGAGAGAGCGAGAGAAAGAGAAATCGAGAGAAGACTCCGCGGTGTTTCTCGTAACACTGACCGTCGATGTCCATCGCTTGCGTCGTCCGGATCGTGTGTTTAATGTACGCAGCACATTCCAGCCGCTTCTAATAAACGAAACTACACGCACTCTCTAAAACGCGAGCCTCCACCGTTGTTAGTTTTCTCACTACTCGGTCGCGCCGTAGCTCTTTTTCTCGATCGCGATGCGAAATTGGTCCGCCGAATTTGTGTGCGAATGTGTGTGTGTGTGTGTGTGTGTGTGTGTGTGTGTGTGTGTGTGTGTGTGCGTATCCGAGGCATTCAAGAGTAATCTGCCAATCAAAAAGTTCGCAGGCATTTCTTCATGGATCATCTCGCGGTGCATACGTGTTCCGCTCTCACGTCACTTGTGTACGTATACACATTTATCGAAACACCACCACCGCATACAACACTCATTGATCTGCAGATACACCACCAAGATGCGCTCTCTAATTTTGCACGTACACTGGGAGAAAAAAATATTAAAAAAATAGCAAATATTTTTTCCCGTGGGTACGTGATGACGTATTTACTTCAAATCTCTGGATACTATCGTCGGGTGTCTTTGTTTGATGACGTCAGAAGCGAGAAATCGCCCCACATAACACAAGATTTAAAAGATGTCCCAGAGACATCCAGATGATTGCTAAATGTCCTTGCAGAAGTCCTCAGAATATCCTAAAGATATTCCGAGGACTTCTAAATGTCCACACGAGTCCCCAAGATATCCCTTCAAAATCTTGTGCTATGAGGAGTCTATTCTTGCGTTATATATTGAAATAAAAAGATATATTCATAAGAAAATACTTGTAAGTGATTCAGCAAATTTGTAAGATGCTCTGAACGCTCTCCTTTTATTGTTAAAATCAATAAATACCTGTGAAATTAGGGTGACATGCAGCTCAGGTTTTAGCCAAATTTTTCTCATCATTCCTGTTATGTTAATTTAATGGCTATTTATTGATTGTAACATCAAAAAGAGAGTGTTCGAAGCATTTTATAAAATTGTTGAATAGATTTCAAGTAACATTATATGGATATATCTTTTTATTTCAACGTATAATGCAAAAATCGTGAGCATGCGATTTTTCGCTTCTGACGTTATCAAACAGGGCCAGCTTACACGACTATTCCAGGGTCTTAAATTGAAATTTTTTTTTTATCCAAGAACAAACAATTGCTTTCACAAAAAACTAAGATTTCCTTGAAATTCTCCAAGAAAATATATATTTTTTTATTTGAAGAATATATTTTGTATATTAGTATCAGAGAGAGAGAGGGGGGGAGAGAGAGAGAGAGAGAGAGAGAGAGAGAGAGAGAGAGAGAGAGAG